GCGCGGCGGGTCCCGCCCCCCCCGCGGTACCTGCTCCGGGCGCGGGGTCAGTGCCAGGCCCAGTCGCCTCCCGCCGCCGCCATCTTAACAGCAGCCCCCGAGCCTCAGCCCAGCAGGCAGATCCCGCGAGAACTCCCCGCCTGCCGCTCGGGGACGGGATCCCGCGAGAGTTCGGGAGCGAGTTCCCGCGAGACAGGCTCCGCCCCCTCCCTCCCTCCCGCGAGAAACGAGAGGGGCAGATCCCGCGAGACTTGGCGGGGGGTGACTTCACCGCGCTGGAGCAAAGCGGGAGAGATCTCGCGAGAATTCAGGCGACAGTTCACGTGAGACTTCCCCGCAAAGCTTTCCCGCAAGAAGCGCAGGCCGAGGTCTCGCGAGAACGTGATGGTTCTCGTGAGCATTCAATACCGGGGTAGCGATCCCCGGAGCTAGAAAGGACGAGCGAAATCTCGCGATAGTTCGGGGAGCAGCACTCACCGCGAGGCCGCCAGCTGAGCATTAGATCCCGCGAGACTTGATGGTGAAAATCTCGCAAGGGTCGCGAGACTGATCTCTTTAACCGTTTACGGACCGGAATAAAAGGGTGCGGCGAGATCTCGCGAGACTTGAGGCCGCAGCTCTAGCTTTGGTCCCGCCCTTCCCATGAGACTAAATTGCCTTTGGCCCGGGAAGAGAATCGCGCGAGAACTGGAAACGGAACCTCGCGAGAACTCAGGCCCGGCGGGGGGAAATGAACGCGGCCCCCCGGGAACCCGGTGCTAGAAGGGGATGGGAGCCGTAAGGGGAAATCGCGCGAGAACTCACCGTCTCCAAGGTGACAGGGGGCGAGAACGGCCGGCCGCGGCGGGGGTGGCTGGACAAGAGCCCACGTGAGGTCTCGCGATGACAGGAAACCACGCGAGAGCGCGGACCTGCGACGGCGTCACGCTTCCTCCAAGGACGCTTCTAATCACGCGAGATCTCAGGAGGCTGTCTCACCCTCTCAACTCTCGCGAGATCTCGGGCGACGCTCTTCCGCCATAGAACCCGAGTCTCGCGAGACCTCGCTGCCAAAGCCCAATCCCGGCCGTTCTTGAGACAAATGTAACTTTATTGAGCCGACTCCGGGCGGACACGCGAGGGGGCGGGGCCTGGGCCAGGTCCCGCCCCTCCCCCCATGAGGTCATGTCACATCACCGCCCAAGCTAACGACGGGACGGCACAGCCCTTGGGGGGGGGGGGGTTGGTATGGGGGGGCAGGAGCCCTTGGGGGAGGGGGGGGCTGGGTATGGGGGGGCAGAGGCCCCGTG